CGGGTTTGACCCCAAATCCCTGCATTTTCCCCCAAAACRAGGCGGTCGTGCCCCTCCCCCTCCCCTCAGCATTTTGGGGTGGGGTCTCCGCCCTGAACCCCTCTCTTTTTGCCCCATTTCGGGGGTCCCTCCCTCCCCTGTTTTCGGCGCCGTTTTGGGGTACAAAAAGCTCTTTTTGGGGTTTACCTGCCAGGCGGGGGAGGGGCAGGCCCGGGGGGGACCGGGGGGGCTCCCCCTGTTCTTGGTGCTCCTGCTGCCAGTGCCGGGGGGGGACGGGGACATCGCTGGGGACAGCCTTGGGGACATCGCTGGGGACAGCCTTGGGGACATCCTTGGGGACAGTGGGGACAGCAGGGACAGCCTTGGGGACAGTGGGGACATCCTTGGGGACAGCGGGGACATCCTTGGGGACATCTCTGGGGACAGTGGGGACAGCAGGGACATCCTTGGGGACAGCAGGGACAGCCTTGGGGACATCTTTGGGGGCAGTGGGGACATCCTTGGGGACATCCTTGGGGACATCTTTGAGAATATCCTTGGGGACATCCTTGGGGACAGGAGAAACATCCTTGGGCATGGCAGTGACGTCCTTGGGGACAGCAGGGACATCCTTGGGGATGGCAGGGACATCCCTGGGGACATCCTTGGGGACATCCTCGCCCGGTGCCTCCTCGATGACGGTGTCATCAGAGTCACCGGAGCTGTCGCCATCGGCGGGGACAGCGGGGACAGAGGGGACAGAGGGGACAGCAGGGACAGTAGGGACACCACTGGGGACGCCATTCCCAGCTCCGGTGACGCCGTTCCCGGTGCCGCAGATGCCGCTCCCTACGCCGGGGACACCGCGGACACCGCTCCCAACGCCGGTGACACTGGTGACATCATTCCCAACAGCGGTGACATCATTCCCAACGGTGGTGACACCGGTGACACCATTTCCAACACCAGTGACGCCATTTCCAACGCTGGTGACACCAGTGACAACATTTCCAACGCCGGTGACGCCGTTAGCGATGCCGATCCCTCCGTCCCCGTTGCCATCACCGATGTCCCCGTTGCTGTCACCGATGTCCCCATCGCTGTCCCCGGCGCCGCCGTTGCGCTCCACCAGGTCCCAGGACAGCAGCTCGCTGGTGAAGTTGTGCATCTCCCGCACGCAGCGCGACACCTCCTCCAGCGCCGCGGCCGAGCCGGGGGGCGGCCGGGCCAGACCCCTCCCTCCGGTGACACCGCTGGGGACACCTCCGGTGACACCTCCGGGGACACCTCCGGGGACACCGCGGGGCTTGGGCGGGAAGTGGCACACGCGGCCCTCGGGGATCTGGCCCAGCGCGGGGCCGAACTCGCGGTCGAAGGCGGCTCTGTCCGGCACCACCTCGAACGGCGACTCCGGCGATTCCGGGGGGCTCTGAGGGGCCCCCCCCGGGGACACCCCCCGGTCACGCCC